TATATATATATATCTTACCATTGATGAAACACACTATTAGCACTGTGACCTTAAATTACTTAACCTCTCTAAGCTTTAATCTACTCATCTGTAATGAGAGGATGACATTACCCATCTCTTAGGGTTGGTCTGTTTTCTTTAACACAGGGCCTGGCACATAGTTCTCATTAAATGTTAGCCGTTATTTTAAATAATAATTAAGCTCTTAGACCACTCTCAAAAAGACCTTCCCAGCTAATAGTACAGTTAAAATGATGATAAAAGTCACCCAGAGCCAAGCTCACCCTGAGTTCTGGGATGGCCAGAGTACTCAGAGTAAAGACACAGGGCTCTCTGGCAAAGCTAACTGGTAGCCCTGATGTAGAAGAGGGTGGGACCCAAAGTGCCAATCTCTGTGGTTGCTGACAAGTTCCACTCAGTTTAACAAGTACCTATTCACTGTTACTCCAAATATTTTAGAGGCCTGAAGCATAAAGGGGAATAAAGATACGTTTTTTCTGACCTTGAGGCTCTTAAGGTCTCACAGGCCTAGATGTCAGAGAACAGGGTAGAGATGATGAAGGAGGTTCTGGGAGGAAAGCTGGGAGTTCAAAGGCAGAGGAAGAGGGGGTGAGGTCAGGATGTGCATGGGTCATTCATAAGGCTACAGTCACACAGGAAAGACACCTACAGTTACGCTTTTTAACCCAGGGTGGAAGAAATAGAATCCAAGAGGGACCAATATGTAATCATTAGAAAGTAGGCAAGAATATAAATTACTCAGGGTTTCCAGAGTCAAATCTCCATTGTATTATTGTGCTTACTGAGCAAGGCACAGGAACCTGCAAGGCTGTCAGTTGAGAGAATGTGAGAGCAAGCAGTCAGATGGAGAACTCCACAGTGAGCACAGTACTCAGGACAGATTTTGGGCCTGCACTCCAGGGCGAAACTGCATTTTCAGGGTGGAGGAGAGGAGGGATTGATATTTTTCCCTTCTTACCTTTTCCATTCAAAGTCTCCACCCCTTGATTACTCTTAGGGAGCAAAATTAAATGGGTCAAGTAAAAGCAGGAGTCGCTGTCGGTAGGAGAAACTGTCTCTTAGGTCTGCAGTCCACTGACAGCAGTCTTCAATATTTACTTGGCTCATCTGATGTGGAAAATGTGGACAGCCACTCTGGCCAAGTTGGTTGGAGTGTCGTACCACAAACTGAAAGATCAGGGGTTCAATTCCCGGTTGGGGCACGTGCAGGAGGCAACCAGTCAATGTTTCTCTCTCACATCGATGTTTCTCTATTTCTCTCTCTCAAATCAATAAACACATTTTTAAAAAGAAAAGAAAGTATGGACAGCCTTCTTGTGAAGGCTGGGAATTATAGGTCATTTGAAGCACCAAGAGAAGCCAAGTGTAAGAGCTGTATCTTTATACCCCAAGACTTCCTTGTCTGGATCAGCCACGGTGTACCCTCCAAAGAGACCAGACTTGGACTTCTAGTCAACCCAGGGACCCCTGAGTTTACTGTGTCACCTGGAGTGTGTCAACTACAACGTGGGACTGAAACTAGCAACTTATTCAAACAGTCAGAAAGGCTCAGAAGGGACAGGTATTGTTCTAGGTATGGAAACTTCAAACATTATGCCTTGAGGGAATCTCAGTTGGGCAAGAAACCAGGCCCCATAAGGGCTTGTAGAGGGACTCTTAGGGACAGAGGCAGCAGGCTCTGAATTCATCCTTGTTGGGGTTCATGGAAGGGCAGCTAGGCCTTGAAGACTGAACAGAAGTGGTCTAAGCAGAGCACACAGCACATTCAAACACAGGAGGCAGGCAGGAGAGGCCTGTGTAGGAGGAACTGGAGAGGCTCAGGGAGGGGAGATCACAGGATGGCCCAGGGCAGAGGAGCAGCAAGAGACAGGGCCATGATGAAGATTGCCATGTGTCACACTGAGTGTGGGTTTAACTGGAAAGGTGAAGAGGAGCTGCCAAAAGATTTTAGGCAATATAATGGCATGATACGAATTCCATTTGCAAAGATCGCTTTTCCCTTTTTTGGAAGGATGGGAAGCAGATGGAAGGAAGAAGTTCAATTATGAAGCTTCTACAATGGTTGAGTAAATGAGGAAGGGAAAAAGAAGAGAACTTCTTTCAACAAATGGAAGTAAATATTTTTTGTAGTCTTAGAGAGGCACCGACCATTTTTTGCATGTTATAGGGAGAGATATTACCAAGAAATTATATTAAAAGAAAGAAAAGATGAGAAGAATGGAAAGAGAGAAAGAAGGAAGGAGGAAGATAGGAGCCTCTACTAATTCAGCACTCCATATGAAGAGAAATTTTTGCAAAATATTTATATGTCCTATTTTAATACATCTTAAATTCTGTAAATCAATCATCCTGGTACTTAGCGATGCAGTACTTAAGTATGGCAACTACCTGCAATGATAGTTCCTGTCTGAGTATACCTATTATTTATAATAATAAATGTGCTTATTATACACAATAACTTTTTAAAACCTCCACTTAACTGGATTTTTTGTGTAATTGGAAGTGTTGGCTAATCACAATATTTGGTTGTTGAAAATTCTGCCACTGTATATTGAATGCGGTTGACATGATGATCTTTTTCAGATGATTCAGGTTCTTCACGAAGGCTCAAGGTCATTATTAGGAACATCACTGCCCATAAAATGGTACTTTGGATACAGAGGTACTGAAGTGAACAGGTAACAGTGCTGGTTAAGCCATGAAAGGTTTCTCCCCTTATTTTCCTTATAAGACAAGAGTGAGAAAGTGTGTGTGTTAATTGGTTAATTGAGGATTTGAGAAGTTTTGGTTAATTGAGAAAACTAATTAATTGGGTTTCCATTCATTAATATTTTGCTGTAAATGAATCCAAGGAAAAGAGTATCTTTAAGGATTAAATAACAACTATATGGTAAGAAAGTAGCTGTGAGTTTTCAGTCTTTGAGGTGGATTTGGGTTAAGTCATCTGATATGTGCCTTTTTCCTGTACAAAGTAATCATTATAATAATGGGTGATAACTAAAGTTTGTATAACACTTGACAACCCACTTTATACATATTTCATCTCATTTATCAAATGGTAGTTACTATATAGGTAAAGAAAGGAGTAAGAGGAGAACCACACGTTAATATGAAGTGTTCCACAAAGAGCCAGTCGATGATACCAAGTGAACTGGAAGCTCTCCACACCGTCCCCAGGCCAGTGGAATCCCGAATAAGGAAGCTATCAAAGTGACCTCACTATAAAATGGTCTCCAACATCAGGGGTCCATGACCTGGGCCCAGATAAAGCAATTAAGACAAATAATATAACTAGTAAGTGCAGGAGAAAAAGGTAGGCTCTGGAAGGAAATTGTGTACCGCTTGAAAACAAATTAATTCCTGAAGACTTTAGGGTACAATTTTATAGATCACCACTTCCAGAGAACTAAATGAGACCCTGGGGCTCTGGAGCATTTATTCATGTGCACCCATGTGTGCGCTTGTGTGTGTGTGTGTATCTGTGCATGTGTGTGTTATGCACAAGTGATTTACTCCAAAGGAATAAATTACTCCACAACAGTAATCCTAAATGACTGTAGAATGATCTTAATTACTATTATCAATGCAACAGTCTATGCTTCAGAGAGTGAAAGCTCCAATGCTACCAAATAAAAAACCAGATTTCCCCAAATGAAAGGAAGCATAGGGTTGACCATTTCTGCAGATTTACACCCTAAATGCAAAGCCTATGTGGCCAGCTAACTGTTTACATCATTGAATTGGCCAGATTATGCATGGAGAAAGCAGTCCTTAGCACATTTTTCAAAGGGGACAAACATAGGACTTCTACCACAGTCATCCGCAGCAAAGCTTATTCCTAAACCCATAGTGCCCTCAAAGAGCAACCCAGTCCATGGATGGGGCCAAAAAGGGTGAAGGGTGTGGGAGAGGGAAGGGGTACAGTGACTGCTTGCCTTTTGAAAGCCAATATTCATTCATTCAATAAATAGTTGAGAGCCTACTATGTGTGAGGTTATCTTTTAGGCATGGACCATTGCTTTTACATGTGATAGGAAAAATGCAAGGACAGTACACTCCATGTCCCCATCCCAGATTTTTCTAGATATATTCCTCAGTTTTTTACCTGCCTATGTAGATTGAGAACCAAAAGTTCCAAACCAGGTTACATATAATGAAATGTAAAATTAGTTGGGAAGGAAACAATTTTCAAGCACACTTTGAAAACTAATGTTTGATCAGATTAGTGTCTATATATGTAGTTTAATGCTTAAAAAAAAAACCACAATGAAAAAGGCTAAATAAGTATAATGTCAAAATATTAACTATGGTTGTCTCTGGGTGGAGGGTTTTAAATGATTTTTTTTCCTAATTCATTTTGTATGTTTCTGTACTTTATATAATGTGACATATAGTCCTTTGATAATCAGAGTGAGAAAATATTCTCAGGTTAGAACTGGTATGATACCTAAAAACCTGAAGCAGATAAAATGAGACTGATTAGATTAAATGCAGGTAATTACTTAGCCATGAAATTGCCCTGCCCAATTAAATAAGCAGTCATTACAGTAAATGTGTGCTTTGAAGTGGATACTGCTAGATAAACTCCAGCACAGCTTTTCATGTTTGGGAATAAAAGCATGTATGTATCACAGACCTACTGGATTTTACTACCATATGGATACCTGTGCTTACCAAGCTCTTGTTTTTATTTCCATTATTTTTTTTAGATAAAAGCAAAGAGAGCTGGTTTTGCCAATCTTTAAAACTTCATGTCTATAAGTATTTTCCCTTTATGAGAAACATAATGAAGTCAAGATTTCAAATTCCTGGCTCCAACTGATTTTAGCTGAACACAAGGTAATTTTCTGTGTCTTTTTCTTCTAATGCCATGGTCCCCAGGCTAGACACTGGGGTCGAACCACCGACTGCTAAATTTACATGTTGGGTCTGTACCTGGCTGCTGCCGCCACACCCATGCTCTTCAACACAGTTGGGTGCGTGCGTGCGTGTGTGTGCACGCGTGTGTGTGCTGGGACCCCCAGCAGGGAAAATGCTGCCATCAACCAAAGTGATATCCTCCCAGCTCTGGGGCTCTGTGATAGACTTTTCTTCCTCACCCCTAGATATTCTTCAGGACTCTTTAGGAAAGGGAGACTGGTCTTCCTCACAACCCACATCTCTAGCAAGCAGTGACACTTGGCACATAGTAGGTTAGCTGAATGAATGAATCTGGAGAACAGAATACTGGTAATTATTTGGGGGGACATCATATCCTTTTTCCAACCTAGGTAACTATCATGTGAATTTCCAGAATAATTTTATTCTGCAATTAAAGAGAACTGAACACCCTATACATTCATAATCTTGACATAGTGAGAAGTGACGCTTGGAGGATGATGGCAGGTTTTTTACTGAAGTTTCCTCTGTAATCACTTTGACTCTATAGGCAGAGTCTATTGACATGTCCTGCTATGTAAGCTTTCAGTAAGGTATACAGTCACTGACCTATCTTTTTATATTTCTAGTCTTACATGTTTTATGCTTTACTTTAATTGATTAAAGTTATCAATCTGTCCCTAAACAGTATGCAATTGCACAAGGCTATTACCCACTCCTGTTCAGTTCTTTCCTCATTTAGGGAGAAAAAAGAATAAACACAGCGCCAGGCCAGTATGGCTCAGTGGCTGAGTGTTGTCCCATGCACCAGGAGGTCTCCGTTGACTCCTGCTCAGGGCACATGCCCAGGCTGCAGGCTAAATCCCCCGTGGGGGGCATGCAGGAGGCAGCCCATTGCTGTTTCCCTCTCATCCATGTTTCTAGCTCTCTTTCCCTCTCTCTCTAAAATCAATAAAAACATTTTTAAAAAACAAATGAACATGGCGATTATAGATCTGCTTGGCCATATGTATGAAGCAAGTCAATTTATTTCCCAAAATAATACTTAACATCTGTCTCAGAACCTTGCCCCGTTATGAACAGATGAGTCATATTCCTTTTTAACATTTCATTTTATGACTAAGGAGGGAAAGGTGCAGAAAAGACAATGTTTTCTTGTTTACAAGAACTATCCTCAGTAAAATAGCATTTCAAAGAGTCTTGTTTTTTACCTTAAGGTATTTCCTCAGATTTTGTTGGTTAGGCTATCATTTGGAAATATACAGTTTTTTAGTATTTTGAAAGAATATATGCTCGAATAAAATAGCTCAAAAATGTCTTCACCGCCCGGCCGGTGTTGTTCAGCGGTTGACCATCCGCCTATGGACCAGGTGGTCACAGTTTGATTCCCAGTCAGGGCACATGCCTGGGTTGCGGGCTTGATCCCCAGTGGGGGGCGTGCAGCACACAGCCAACCAATGGCTCTCATCATTGATGTTTCTGTCTCTCTCCCCCTCTCCCTTCCTCTCTCTGAAATCAATAAAATATATATTATATATTTTTAAAAATGTCTTCACCTTTCAGAAAAGACAATGAATTTTACAAAAGTAAGCAGCACTGGGGAATAAGAATATCTCTCCCAACATCAGCTCCAAAACTTAAAATCAGAGAGAATTAGCACTTTGCTGTGCACTCAAGCACCATTTATTCTGGAATACCTCATGCTAACCTGTGTTTTTGGAACTGAATGACTTTTGTGGCTTTTCATTTAAGCAAAGAAAACTGATAATGCACATCTTCCAGCTGCATACCTTCACAACATTCAATAGGTTTTCTTTGGATTAAGAAATGCAGTTGTTTTCAGAAGTTGAGGGAGAGGAAGGTAACACTGACATGTATACTTTTATGCCATCAAATTCTGAACTTGAGTTTGCACTACATTTCCAGTTTTAAAAAAACAGGAAAAATAAGCAATGGACTCGAGGCTTATCAGAGCTTAATTTACTCAGTTACAGGACCTAAAAGTGATTTATAACTTGCAATTAGTTGAAATAAAAGTAACCAAAAAAATGAGCAAAGACTGGATGCCAATAGCATCCTCATACAGAACTTCATGAAGGCCTGCAAACTTTTTAATCATATTAATATGACTTATCAGTGTAACAATCTATAAATAATGTCTGAAACTGAATTTATTAATGTTTGTCTCAAGTACATTTATAATCACAGAAAATATGTATTTACCTACTAATCACTACCATTAATAGACAGATGGTTAGCAAGATAAAATGCTTATCAGGAAAAAAATCATTAAGCCATTCTAAGGAGATTTCAGGTGATTTCCTTCAAACTTATAATGCCTATTAAAATATATGATCAAGCACCATCTGTTACTACAGTAATTTTAAATGCTTACAAAACCCCTAACTACAGAGTATGACACAGCCATTCTCTTGGGTTAGGTTGATTAATACCCATTTTCTGTCAAAACTACTTCAATCAAGTAAAACTCAGGCAAAAAAGGGGGAAAGGGAGAACACCCAATTCTTTCCTGGTGTTTTACATTATCCTGATGAATTATGACAAGCCTTTCTTAAATCCTGAGAATTTATACATTGAAGAACTATTCCCTGTTTATTTTCTTCCCTAGAGTTGGACATTCCCTGCATCCTAGGATCTAAGTAGATCTTTGGGAGACTCCAGTGTTAATAACTTTGCCATTGTAGATCCACTTTAAAATTGGATAACTTTTTGTAGGGTTATCCATGTCATCCAATTAAACGTCACAAACCTTTGTGTTTTAATCTTTTATCCTGTCATACACACACGTGCACATAGTGTAAGCACACATGCACATACAACCACAGGTCTGGCCCCATAGCCCTCCCATTTACCATTTACCACACAGACTGTCCCGACCATACTCCTTCCAGACTTTCTTCCAGGAAAGGGCACAGCTGGGTCTGGGTAATCCCTGATCCCGTGTTCAGGCCAACTAAGATTCGAATCTGGAGACTTGTGCTATACCCAGACCTCATGAAGGACATACTTGGACTCTTGTTACCTGCCAGCTATTAAAACCCTAGCTGGGACCAGTGGGGTAGGAAGTATAACTACAACCTCTACCTATCAGAGGAAAGAGAAAAATCTCAGTATGAACTGGCCCAGGCTGCACCGCTGAGGATCACGTTTGTGGTCCAAAAGTCAATGGTTTTATGCAAAAAATATTCTGTTTTGCCAAATTTCAAGCAATTTTTCATTTTAAAGTCATTTGACCATACTATCTTTCTTCTTCACAGATATTACAACAGATTTTTTTAAAGAGAACCATTTTCTCTGTTTCATCTCCCTCTCCCTCTTTTTTCTGGTGTGTGTGGCAGCTGCTGTTTGATCTGTTCATTGGCTCTGATTTGTTTCATGTTTCAGCCAAAGATGAAAACTACTCTGTAATTCTAAGCAGATGGGCCTAGGAGTGCAACCCTATAATTATAGCTTCTCTCTCTGGCCCTCGAATTGCAAGCCTTCCATCCTGACTTTTAAAGTCTGGGAATCACTAGAGTTCAGAACACACCTTGGCCATCAGGCAGGTCTGGCCCAGCCCAACATGTTTGCAAGGCCTGCGGAGCTGCGCGGCCCAAGCCCCCTGCCCAGAGTAGGACTACAAAAAACAAACAACAAAATTGCCATGCATAGCTTGCAGGTTAACCTTCCTAGATCTTCTAGGGTGGCTCATAGCCTGATCTGCAGTGCTAGCTCCAATGCATCCTGGAGCTCTATCCACAGCAGTGTCCTGGAGGGTAGTGATCTGGTCTGCAGGGGTTTGGGGGGGTGGTGGTAGGTACTGAGGAGGGAGAGCCAAGCTCCTGGTGGAGACACTCCGCTGAAGAAAAGTCAGGTGTCCATCACTAAGGAAGGTTCGCTCAGGACACCTGAATCAGCACCATGGGTTTTGCCACGGCCTGTCCTGATGGTCAACACCATTCCACCACAGAATCTGCCTTGGTGACTCCCAGGCAATTGTCTTCTCTTTCTCAGGGCAATTCCTGGAACTCTTTTAAAGCGCTAATGCTCTCTGGGTAAGAGTTTACTAGAGCTCCTGAGAAAATGTGGCACATGAAGCAAAGAAACAAAATGACCAAGCAATGGCATGAGGGAAATAAGACGTCAAGTTCTGGTGAACCTCGCAGATTCGTTTAATTATTACATCTTGGCTATCAGAAGTCCCCTGCTCTTTGAAACTGCATCCAGTCTACTTGGGAAAGAGCCCCCAAACCACCTTTCAAAAACCACTAGTCCTGGTAAGGGCACACAGACACGCGCGCGCTGTGTTTCTGCTAAATACTCCCAGTTTCTCTTCACAGCCCCATAAAGGCTTGGACCACATCAAGAGCCCCCTGCGCTCTGACGCTGGAGACAGGATCGCAAAGCCTGCGATTTCATGACAGTCTGCATGTTGCAGATCCCACCGTGGATCAAAGTTTTCCCCGGGACTTGAGGCAACCGATCCTGGAGATAAAAGTTGTGAGAGAGAGGTTTGCACCCTTCCAGAAAGAAAACGCCCGCCGCCAAGGGCTCGGGCGCTGCGGGGAGAGGAGCTCAGAGCCCAGCGAGCGCCGCGTCCCGCCTCCAGGGTGAGCAGGGGGAAGGGGCTCCGCGCGGCCGGCGCGGGACAGGGAGCCGCCGCGGCCGAGCCCGGCTC